TGACTGCATTATAAACGAGAATGCATATCTAATTGAATAGGAGAATGATTATCTGTCGAAGCAAGTCGAACGAATCTTAGCACAACGACCGTCAGTGGTGGTCGTCGAAGAGAATGTGGCACGACTAGCGGTTTATCAGCTGCTCAAAGCTGGTGTGAGTTTGGTGTCGAATATCAAGACGAAAGTACTGCATCGAGTGGCCAGGAGTACACATGCGGATGTGATGCCTTCCCTCGACGCTCAACTGCTACAACAAAAAATCGGGTTTTGTCCAATGTTTTCACAATGTAAAATACGACTAGCAAGCGGTAAAACGAAAACTCTTCTGGTTTGTTCCATTTGCTGATATTTTCAATTAATCAGTCTCTGTCTCTCTTGACACCGATTCCATTTAAGTGTAGATTAGTTCAATTTTAGAAACTGTCAGTCAGCTTGAATTTGAATCTATCTGCTCTCTGCCAATATCTGCTCAATGTTAACAATTCTTTTGCTAGCAGTGTTACCAGATGTCGATTCATTATTTCTCTACTCGTTCCAAACTTTTCAGATATTCTCAGAATGTTCGCCAGATTTGGGTTGTTCAGTATTATTAAGAGGACAATCAATGCGAGAGCTGCGTGCTGCAAAACGAATATTACGTTACATGATACTCGCACTTTATTCGGCGAATCTGGAATTGAAATTATTGAAATTGTTCAATTCATCGATAGGTGCAAGGTCGTCAGATTGTTATGTGTGTTCGTTGAACTCAGATGAAGTTGATCCGAATCCGGTAGATTTTAGTTCAGTTACACGCCAATTTAATTTTGCTATTTTGCTAATTAAATTTTCAATTTTATGGCACTTTTTCGCAATTTTCAGTTCTTCATCATTTTAATTGGTGTCGTGATTGATGCTCTAGTGACCATTCGTTGATATGTTGAACAATCGGAACTATTTCAGGACAGTTTCACGCATCATTTAAGGGAATGTACATTGACTGCATCTCCACTGATCAATTTTGGAGTGCCCTTCTTAGAGACCGCTAAGGGACGTGAATGTGTCCTAAGACCGTATTTCAAACATCCTCTTTATCATTTCTTATCGAAAAGCGACTTACAAGCTGTCAAGTATGAAATATATGTTTGGTTCAGATATCAATATCAGTATAGCTACTTAATTTGTAATGACAATATTTACGGTTTAGAAGGAAGCAGACTTTGTTTTGATATGATTAATTTATGGGTAGAAGTATGGAAACAATTTGTACCTTTATGGCTATATTGAGAAAGCGATTATTATTCAGACATTGTTTACAATGAAAACGAAAAATTTAGGAATGATGAGGAAGAATATGAAGAAGATAGGAGTGATGGATTATGGCACAATCAGCATGAGTTTGTT